CAACCTGAGGCCAACATAGGCCAAAATAGCCACCAGATGGGCCCACATTGCCCACAAGATAGGCCAACATACGCCAACATAGGCCAACATAGCCACAGAATGGGCCTACATAGTTGGGCCCCTGGCCGGCTGTCGCGCGTAAGCGCTTAAATATAAGATTTACTGAGTATACCCAAGTTTGCCATGTGCGGGTCATGAAACTCCATATCCAATCAGGGTTGATGATTGGGCCCCGTCAATTCTCAACAAACCCTACCTGAAACTCAGCGGCCCCTCTTACCTTGTGCGCGAAGGCTGTGCTCCTCTTCCACCATCAAGCGTTTTGCAACGGACTTGGCGATGACTACAGAATCAGGATACCTACAGTGGGTCCCCAAAAGTCTGACAGCCTAAAGTGGGATCATCATCACATTTTTCAGGAATGCGGCAAAACACTTTTCTTTGTTAAAAACCGGAAACTGAAAAAGCGGACATATGGCTACGCGTATGGACCATATGGACAACAAGCCTGGTCCCCCGAAGTTCAAGCCAAAATAGCCAGTCATCAATGTCCATCCCTTCAGATCGAGGAAAATCCTAATTTTTGCCGCATACCGCGTTCCCAAATATCAGCTACAATACTCACCGCAACTTTGGTTAAATCCCCTTTGGGATCGTCCAAGCCAATGTGGTGCTCCAGAATCCAGGTCTTTGAGTGTCTGCTGGTGAACCACCAATATCTACTGGTGAAACCCTCATTCAAGCTGGTTAAACCCAAAGTTCTGTTGTTTCAACCCCCATCTTTGTATCTTAAATCAGCAGTTTCAAGTGGCAACCAGCCCCAGGTGCTGTTTCATGTTGCGAAAGCCTTGTGCCTGGACCACCCAATTCCAGAGCGTGAAGGAGCTGTACCGTGGCGGAGCCGCCGCGTGGGAGCCATGACAGCGAAGAGTTGCGAGAGGACGAGTGGTGCTGTCCAGAAACTTCCTAAAGGCACCGGGTGGGGGCCGCTGGGTCAATGGGGCCCATGGCTTTTACTGTAGAGTTTCCAGCAGATTTTCCTATCATCCAATTCTGGGAAGGGGGACCTGCCGAATTTCCACAGGGTGTATCATCATGTGTCCCATTTAAACGACAATTGGGTGTACTCCAGCTTTGGACAAACGCAAATAGTTTTGCCTATCGGCCTATCCTCCCACGATGTTACTTTATGAAGATGAAAATCGGGGGTCGGGAGCAAAAATCACCGTGGCCAGGTGGGTGGGGGATTGTCTTCTGCGCAGTCTCCAGGATGAGAAATGAGAATCAAATTGAGGCCTCTATTCAGTGTCCTTAGACCTGGTTCTTTTTCTGCTTCTCCCCATCTTTGTTTCTTTGTTCGGCCCCCATGGATTTTTGGATCAGCGGACCCACCTGGACCCCATCAACCAACGGTTATCACAAAATCTCCACACTTTGATCTTATTTCTTTTTCCCCATTGGAGTCATGACAATCCATTGGAGTCTTTCCCAGCTTTGGACAAACCACCAAAAAAGGCCATATAGGTCTATCATCTGGTCTATCCACATCACATTCATGGCATTTGTCAATCACAAACTCTTAACCCACTTGCCAAAACCAAGATTCAACCAGATTGATGGTTGGTTCAAGCCACATCTGCCATGGTCAAAACTTGTCTTATTATATGGGGTATTGTCATCCCACTATCAGTAGGGATACCTCATAATTGGTGTCTTGACCCGTATCGGTATCTATGAATGGGAGATGATCATCGGTTTTCTATCTCTCTATAGGACATGTCCTTAGAATGAGCATCTTGTGACTCTTGTGACCATCCCGTTATATATATATATTTATATACGGGAAAATTCCTTAGAATGAGCATCTTAGCCTCCATTAATTTGGGAATGACCATCCCCTTTTATGTGAAAACACACCAGGATTGGACCATGGCTCACAAAAAACGTGACATACGAACCCTGCCACCCAGTTTCAAGAGCATTGCTCGGTCCAGCAGCTGCAAGCGATCAAAGGCACGCCAGCAAACGCACAACTCATCGTTGCTGAACTTCGAGAGTAAGTCTTCAGCTTCCTGTGGCTACGGCTGGTGTCAAAAAGCTTTCAGATGCGGTCAAAATTGTCAAAACGATTTCACACAGCGGGATTTCACCATCCAATCCTGGCCAACAGAAATGCCTGGTGTCACAATGGAGGTGTTTTTGCAACAGAAATGCTGGTTGAACCAACAAAAATATGTTGGTGAAAGGAACGAACATGGGTTGAAGCAACAGAAATCGGATATTCGGTCTCAGTTCGGTTCGTTTCCAAAAAGTAGTATGTGGATATCGGCAAAAATGAAGATGTAACAATAGTCTGGGTCCATGTTCAAGCCCAAACCTTGGATTTGTTTGTTGCCATTAATTTTGGGTATTCACGAAAGACCGCTAAAGACCTTAAGACTTTTCACATGGATCCAGTCCTGTTTGACAACGAATCATCTCATTTTTTGGGCCAAATGATCCCTTGGCTTCTAAAGAAAAGCATTCTTAGGGCGATGGGAGTTGGTGGTTGACTTTCCCAAGGAAACTATGAATGCGTTGAGGATGAATCATTCCATTTGGGGTGAAGATGTGTATCAATTGGGGGTCAACCAATTTGGGCTTCATTAGTCATATTATGTCATATTATATAGTCTTCCTGGGCAGTAAAACATTGATCATCATTGATCTGTGTGTAATGCTCCATGTTGGCACTCCTTGGGATCGGTGGATTGGCTCAAGAGGAAATCTGTGTTGGTTTCCTACCTGAGTTTTGACCCCAAATTATGTGATCCTTTGCGGTGAATTTCACCCCAAATCGAAGGGTTTCCTGCAGATTTTCCCCTAAACATCCCTAAACCAATACTGGAATGATAAAATGATCCTCAAACTTTCAGGATCAACCCACAAATATCGATGAACCGGCCGCCCCAAAAATGGTGTCATGTCCACACCGATTTACCTTAGTTTGGGAATAGGTTCAGCATAACCACGATAACTACATTTAAATATACGGATTTTTAAATATACGAACAGGTATTTTGGACTTCCTCCGGGAAGGTTTTCCTTGGCCCGCCCAGCCATTTAAACATATGGAATCCAATTCATTTAAACATACTGCAACTACATTTAAATATACGAACTGGTATTTCATACTACCTCCGTGGCCTTGCGGTCTGGCCCCTCCTCCACATATTTAAATGTTGTTACCGCATGTTTACCCAATCAATGTGGTTGATACCTCCACTCTGCATTTCTTTTTTGTGGTATTCATCCCAGCATGAAAAGAACATACAGTCAAGAAAAAAACGAAAAGTACCTGAAACCAGCCAGCGCAGTTTCATTGATGCGTTCGCGATAGGCAGGTAGAAACACCAACTGTTTTCTCTCGTCCGGGTGAAGATCCGCTTCACTCAGGGCGTCCAGGAGCCACACCAAGATCTGGGGCGAGCCGGTGCTATTCAGCAACTGGGTGCCGCAATCGGAAATGTTCTTCCAGGCAGCGAATTCGGGTGGTCCGTCCTGAAAAATGGGCTGACCACCACTGTCAGAAGGAAGTGTGTAAAACCACTGAAATATCATCAACACAAATTTTCAATATAATTTCACAAATATTTCACATAATTTCCACAACATTGCAAGATCGAACGGCACATAACGAAACAAAAACAGCAATGTAACAAGCAAAGCAAAGCGTGTAGCCTTCTCTCGATCTCGAATCAGGGCAGTAGCAGCTGCAACCAGCTCGAACTCATCAGCCGTTGAGTTTGTCAGGGATCGGCCCAAACACCTTCTATACTGCGATGGCGAAGATTGCTTTCTGCAAAGCCGCAGCATTTGGCCATTCTGCCAGATCTGACAGCGACAAAGGTCTGAGCTCTGAAGGTTGATACCTAGGGATACCCTCTGGTAATTTAACATAGCTATTGAAAATGGCTATTTATAGTGGATTTACCCATCAAAAATGGTGATTTTCCATAGTTGTGTTAGTTTACCAGAGGGTACCTATGGCCCATAGTATGGCTTTAACATGTTGAACTCAAGGTATGGCAGACGCAATGAGAGGAGAGTATAAAGTTGACTCCTTCCAACTCCTGGCTTTTGTGTCCTCGGACTAAAGTGGCTGCAACAAACTCTGGGCTCTGAATAAGTGGAATTCATCTTAAACCCAAAATGGCTGCATCAGGAAGAACTCATCAAAGCGGAGCTGCTGCATGCTGGCTGCTCAGGCGCCGCCGGCACCGCGCACCTATCCCGCTCCACAACGGACTTCCACTCATAGGTCATGATACCATCCTCTCTCACCTTTGGCGGAGATCAAGGTCTTATGATATTGTCGATGTTGTTTGGGCTTCAAAATCTCAACAACTTGAGGTTTCTTTTCAAATCACAGCCTGAAACCAGGCTGAAGCAATTCACAAATTTTACACAATTTCGATATGGCGATATGATGCGATATGGGAATCAAACCTGGAAAATCCACCATTCAGCGCGATGATTTCCCCAAGTACCTCCAGCTCCGGTCCGGCGATGGAGCTTGTTTGGCACACCTGCCCCAAAGTTCTTCCAGGAAAGTCCCCATGGATTAGGAGTTAAGCAACAAAATTACCCCCCAAAAATAGATGAGGAACTTTAGGACTCTTGGAATCTCTTGGATTTTCCACCTTTCTGAAATCTTTCTTCTCATTGTAAAAACCCCAATTGTCCTCCTAATTCCACCAAAACGATCCAAAACGGACAACCAGTACCGTCTCAAGCTGCAGGTTTAGAGGCTATTGCTTCACGCCTCACATGGCTGCAAGAGGGTCCGGACTGCTTCCAGCCACTGTCTGAGCACGGTGACCTTGGCAGGCCAGGCTGACCCTCCAGTGGCACTGCGAAAAGTCCACTTGGAGCAGAGCGGAACATTGCCGGCATTGCCGGCATTGCTCATCCTGGCAGTGCATCAACTTCCAACTCGGGAGTGAACATCCATTCCATCG